TTTCTCAATTTGTATAGGCAATTTGGCTCTGTTCAGGATGAGCTCGACTATTATCGTAGTCATGCCGAGAATCTCGAGAACACGCTGCAAGAGACACGCGCCGCGCTCGATGAATTCCAGATATCGTCGCGTGAACTCGAGGAGGAGCTCGAAAAGGAGCTACAAACGACAGAAAAGGCGTACAAGGAGCTCAAGTCCATTTGCGAGCGGTCAAAGCGCGACGCCGACGAGTGGAAGGTATGATTTCGTGATTCATTCTCGTCTTTGGTTTCTCATTTTTTGTTACAGACCAAATTCACGGACGCAAAACATGAGCAAAGCATCACCATGATGCAAATGCAGCGCGAAATCGACATTTTGCGCGCCACCGAAGAGAGTTTCCGCAAAAAAGTGCTTGAATTGGAGCTAGACAATGATGATCTGGAACGCACGGAGCGGTAAAAAAAAAAAATGAGGCCCATGCGCATCACGCCTTGACGACGGCTCATTTTATCAATTTTTTTTTTGTATGTATTTCTAGTGCTGCCACTTCATCACTCAGTGATCTTGAAATCAAGCTGAACAGAGCCATCGAAAGGAACGTGATTCTAGGTAAAAAGAGAAAAAGACCGAAAAAAGGGGGGGTGAAAAACGAACTGCGCATTGATCCGTGGTCCTTTCTGATGATGTAGAGAATGAAATTGCCACCAAGGATAGCCTGACGGAGCAGACACAGCGCCTGAGGGACGAATTGAACGGTAAGACGCGGTCGAGCTTCCCTGGCATGACGCGCTTTTCTTTCATGTATGTGTGTATTGGCTGCTGACGCTTCGATCTCTTCTTAAAAAACAGAGGTGAACCAAGAGCTTGGTGTGCTACGACAGAGGTACAGCAAGCAAGACTCGCGCATGCAATCGCTGGAGGCGCAGCTGGAGCAAACAGAGAAGCGCAATCGCGAGCAAGAGATGAAACTCGCGCATTACGAGCAGCAGCAAGATGACACGTCGTCCAATGAGCCGTACCCCATGTCGCGCCGCATGTCGCGCATCCCCATGCGTCACTCGCAAATGTCCCCCGTGTCCCCAAGCCTGTCCACAAATAATCCCGTCAAAATGGTCCAAGAAATGGTTGGACGCGTCAGGGTAATGACAACAAAAAAAAAGAGAAAGCGCATCCATCGTCAACTTTTTCCGCTAATTTTTTTTTTCTATGCAGAGTTTGGAGGCGCGCTTACAATCGTGCCGATCGCTGGTCACGCCATTGCTCAACCCACCACCTTCGTACAGCTCGACAGTGCCACTTTCGCCGCCTTTGCGTGATACGCACATGACGGACGTGACAACGGGCCCCTTGCATCTCGCCAACATCCAAGCACGCAAACCTTCCGAGTACATGACCCCACCTCGCGATTTGGACGATTAATTTGGCCAGAAACAGCATGAATAAATAAAATATGGATCTAAAAGATGTTTTTATTCAACAGATGGCGAGAAAAAGTAGCAAAAAAATAGGCGAAGCACGGGTGGAAAGAGAGCGAAAGAGAGGATGACAAAGGCTAGGATCGATCATATCCTATTTATTTGGGAGGGCTAGTTGAAAAAGAAAAAAAAAAGGGGTCAAAACATTGTTTTTCCATTTTTTTTTTTTTTTTTGAGAGGGGGAAAGGGGTTTTCTTACTTATAAGCGATCTTGCGGGTCTTGATGGGCGCGAACTTGAAGCGCTTGAGCCAGAGGGACAAGCCCAAGAGACCGGTGATGATGACGGTGGCCTTCATGCCCATCTTCTTGCGCTCATCATGCTCGGGCTCGGCGGCCCATGACAAGAACACAGAGACATCCTTGGCCATCTGGGAGGTGGTGGCGGGGGTGCCATCCTCGTACTCGACCAAGCCGTCGAACAAGACGCGGGCCATGGCAATGGCACCACCGGGGAAGTAAGGGTTGTAGTTCAAACCTTCACGGACCTCGACACCGCCGGGGGGATCCATGTAGCCAGTCAACAGGGCAAAGACATAGTCCTATCACAAAATTGAAATAAGCCCCATCTGGGGAAAAAAAAAAACACACGCTTTTTGACGCGCGAAAATCGTCACTTACAGCGCCACCGTGGCGAGCCTTGGTCATCAAGGACAAATCAGGGGGCAAAGCACCGGCGTTACCAGCACGGGCAGCCTCGTCGTTGGGGTAGGGACGGGGCATGTAATCCGAGGGCTAAGTTGCAAAACGAAAAAGGAATTGAGCCTCGAATTGGACGCGGAAATGGTCTTTTTTTGTGTGTTTTTTGTGTGTTTTCTTTACCTTGCCGGGACGTTGGAACATGTCACCATTGTCATCGGGGCCATCGGTGTACTCGTGCTCCTCAGCCAAGGCCTTGACCTCGTCCTCGGTGTGGGAGACACCAATCAAGTTGCGCCAGGCAATGCGGTCCAAAGAGTGGCATTGCGAGCACACCTCCTGGTAAACCTGGAAACCACGGCGGATGGCGGCGTGATCATAGGTCGACAGAGGGCCATTGTGCGACCAGGGGTGCTCGGGAGGGTGGAGACCCTCGTCAGCCATGTTGGCAGACACCGTGTTGTCGACGTACATGTACGCCAAAGCGGTCGAGGCAACAATACCGGCGGTCACAGCAGCAACTTGCTTGGGTTGCTGGGAACAATCATGAGAAAAAGAGAAAGAAAGAAAAAGCAGAAAAAGATCATCAATTCATCTGTCAATGCCTCCTTTGATGGGCATTTTGGCAAAATGCAAATGGCAAATCGCCCAATGGCAAATCAAAAATCAAAAATCAAAACACAAGCATCCCTACCTCGGAGACGTGGGGTTTGGTCGAAGCGAAACGAGCCTAAGCGCGCGAAAAAAAATAAAAAAAGAACAACAAAGGTGAGTGACACGGTCGCTGGTTGCTATGGCCAATTGAAAGCAATTCGACGCTTACTTGGACGTTGGGCTTAACAAAGCGACGAGCAGATTGAGCAGAGAGGCGGGAGAACATAGCTGTTTTTTTCTATCGAGTTCCTTTGACAATGAAATACAAAAAAGAAAGAGAGGGGGGATGATACAAGAAACAAGGTAGAAAAAAAGGGTATTGCTAAAGAAGCAAAGACAGCAAAGGGAGCTTTATCAAAGGAAATAAAACAAGAAAGGGAGAGGAAAGAAGGAAAACGATACGGGCAACAATCCATTTTTTTTTTTGTGTGTGTCGCTTGCCCCGCTCTAGCGACTGACAAGGGCAGGCCTTCGAAAAAGCCTGGCCTTGGTCAGTCACAGATTGCCAAATTTGGCGATCAAGCCACCGGTTCACGACCCGCCCCCGGACACTTGCCCTTGCTCCTCTCAATTCCATGTCAATTCGCTCAAGAATTCGTCATTGCCTTTATTGCGCGTTGGAAAAGATGCGATGAAAAAAAAAAAAAGCTTAGCTGCCCAAGCGACGACCACCGCCGCGGCCCCACAATGAATTCCCAAAGGCCCCCGCGCGGCTAAAAGCTTGCTGCGCTTGCTGTTGTGGCTGCTGTGCCGCCTGATTCGCCCACACGCGTCCGCCGGGGCGCTGCCACGTCGTCGTCGTCGAAGGGAACAAACGCTGAAGGAACGCAGGCGTCGTCAAATACGTGCGGCCACCGTGCGCAGCCGGGTATTCATATTTGAGATAGTGGTACGCGTGTGCAGACACAATGCCAAAGATGGTCGGCATTGGACCCGGACCTGGCGGGCTCGTCAAATATTCGTATGCCACAATCACCCATGGAAGATACATTGCCTTTTTTTTTAAAAAAAAAAATCGCCAATGGGTTGCGTGAGACGCGAGTCGCGGCGCGTAAAAAAGAGGATTTTTTGACGATTTTTTACGTACCTTGAAGCGAAAGCCGTACATAAACGACACCTCTTGCTGTGGATTGTGTCGGCACCATATGTACATGCACGCAGGCATCATGCATCGCTGCAGGAAGAACAAATTGCTCCAGAATCGATCGAGCACCTGTGTCATAAACAAAAAAAAAAAAACATGCCAATGGGCTCGCGTCAGCACCCTCTTCCTTTCCTCGACCCCAAATTGACCGCCATGCCGCTCCAACGAACCATTTGAATGGCGCCAGTAAAGATGAAGTAGTAAATGAAATCGGCGGTGTTGTGCTGGAAGAGCTCCGTCTCGACTTTGCTCGCGTACATGTAGAAAAGATAGAGATTGAACGCCATGTCGAGTTTGAACGGGCCAACAAAGAAATTAGTCACGAGGCGCCAGAGCTATGAAGGCAATTGCGCGCGGTGAGTCTTCAAAATCATTACATCGTCTTTGCATTTTTACCTGGAATTGACGCGCCACAGAGGGCCAGTGCAATACCATCGCGCCCATGGGCAAGACGTGGAACGTGCTGAGCGCGCTGGACACGACGGTGGTCGCAAGCACCGTCCGTGTCACCAGTGGCAGCGACTGGTACCAGTTTTTAAAGTCTTGTGTAAAGGATGGAGCTTGGGCTGCCGGCATAGAGTGGAACGAGAGAGAAAGAAAAGCAAGCGAAAGCGAAAAAAAAGGGAAAAAAAAAAAAAAAGAAAGGGCGCCGCCGGCCTATAAAAAGGCAACGTGTCACCCCCGTTTTGGGCCCCCACCCACTGGGCGAACCAGCAAATTGTCAATCAATTGTGAAAGACGGCATTTTTGAACACTTTTACAATAAAACAATGACAGCTCGAACAATGCAGAATCTCTCTGGCTATCGATCGAGAGGATTCAATAAGCTAAACAGCCCCTGGTTGGCACATAATGGGGGCAAAACGTGGATTTATGGCCGAAATCGTGGATAATCCTATTTTATCACTATTGGCCAACAAAAGCACACACAGAGGATTACGCAAGTGACTTGTGATGCTCGTGTGAGCTCATGGTTGTGACATTTTCGATCTCTCGACAATGTTGCAGCATCAACCAATCTTTTAGCCCTGTTCGTCGGTCCGAAATTCGGTCCGAAAAATTTGTGCAATTATGATTTGTATAACCAATTTGGGAACTTAACATCGAAGTCACCGTGGTGTAGTTGGTTATCACGTACGCCTCACACGCGTAAGGTCCCCGGATCGAGCCCGGGCGGTGACATTTTTTTTGCTTTTTTGCTCTTTCTTTTTTTTTTTTTTTTTTTTTTTTTGCTTATCTCACCTTTTGGGTCTGATCTGGGAAAAGTGCAAACAGGCTTAGGTATGGTCACTTGTGTGTCTCGTTTGCCACTTTTTTTGTACAAGTCGCTTTGAGGTTTGAAAAGGTCACGGTCGATTCATACGTGTCGTGTCGCGGTTTTTTTTTTTTTTTTGGTCACGATGAATTGTGCTAGCATCTGCCCAAGATACTTGCACTTTTCAAAAAAAAAAAAAAAAAAAAAAAAAAAAAAAAAAAAAACTCATTTCTACCAGTGAATTGACGGAATTGACGAAAAATCGCAAAAAATGCGCATTTGTCGAGAAATATCAAGCACAGAGTAACCCAAAACGCGTCGCAAACACGTCCTAGTGTGAAATGACAAGTTAGAACCCCTAGCGGGACTCTCGTTTAGCTGTCAGGCGTGCGCCACACGCGAACCCAGAATCTGCTGTGGCCGAGCTCCAAAACCAAAATCGAAAAAAAAAATGGGTCTCTAGAATTGCGCCAGGCTCATCCATACGAAAGAGGGCACGGAGAAACCGCGAGAAATGAAAAAAAAAGAGCCCAGTCTATCAGCGCAGTGACGAGCATTTTGCAATGTTAGTTTAAACCTTGCAGGCGAATTGCGCCGGAAAAACGCGCCCCAAGGCAGCTTTTCACGTCTCCACCAGAAAGAGACGCTCCAGGATTATGGGTTTGGTTAGGAACATACGCGTGCAATAGGTAACACCTTGACGTAATTTATCATGCGTCTAATTTCACTATTGTTTCTAGGTCATGTAAACAAGTCTGTCAAAACATACTTTTTTCAATGATCATCGTTACCCACGGATGCATCAGGCTGTGCCCTTTCTGATGAACCCGGTTTCGACGTGCTGTGACCAATTTTCGACGACATGACATTGTGCTGGAGAAAACCCAGCAGAACACGTTTTTCCCGGAAACCAGTGAACTCTCGATTTTTATTTCAGGTTCTTCGTTGTTAAACGCGATGTGTTCAGCACGTGGTTGAATTATGTGGCAATCTGAGGACCTAAATTTGACCCTTGGAAAATCCTCGACTGCACCCCTTGGAAAATCTACTGTATAATTTTCGAAAATCGTGATTGCGACCCATCTAGTAGTGATTGCAATGTTGCGAAAGTGGGATCATTTGGTAAGGCGTACAGCCGTCTGTTACTCTGTTTCAATGGCTAGTTTTATAGAAAATGAGTGTACTTTCTGAAAAGCGACCAAAATACAGCAAACTTGATGCAATCGCGATTTCCTCGATCTCATTGCTTCGCGAACTGGTGAAAATTGTACCGTGGATGCGTGGAAAGAGAATCGCTTGGATTGTTGGATATCATTTCTCATCCGCTTCGCTGACTCGATGGACGAACTTTGTACGCTGCTGTCACATGAATAATAATGCGATCAAAGATTTTAGAGCTGATTTGCTCAGCAGCAGGCTAAACAACAACTCACAGTGTGGTGCTGCGCTGCTGGGACAAAGGATGCAGAATTTGACTCACTATCAAGCAAATCTTCAAATGAAAGCAGTTTCATCGTTGTTTAATCATCAAAACTGCTGATGACCGAGAAATTCGCTCGAGTTTCCAGAATTCGACGTTGATCGCGATTTGCTTGAAAATGGCCTGGTCGACACCGGATTTTCATTAGAGATTTGCTTATCAAGACGGGGTCCATGCTTACAATACCGGTACAACAGTACAGTACAGTACAGTAATGACAGGACTCACAACAAACTCGTGTCTGCACTGTAGTAGCCCATCCACCTCCAGCGTACAATATCAAATTGCTATTTTCATATTTTGGGAAGGAGTCAAACATGAATTGGCGATAAAAATCTTGACCAAAGTAGGCACTTTTTTCAGTTGATCGCCGTTCATGCGTCACTCTTCGGGTCATTTTCTTAACTTGTTGGACTCTTGGAGCGACCTGACATTTTGTGTGCCAAACGCAAATGGTCGGAGTTACCTGTTTGGGATGCATTGATCACTTGGAGTTCGAATTTGCCCGTTTTTGGGATTTAAATGTGTGACCCCTGAATTTTTAAAAAGTGGTCGTAGCGCTTTGACGGTTTAAGTTTTTTTGCTGCATTTTTTGCGCTGAATGCGATGTAGGTGTTTTTAAGCGGGCTCGACCAAGCAGATGGCGAGATAATAGGAAAAAAGAACATACAGTATCTGCCGGTTTTGGCATTTTCGAGTTCAAAAAAATCGGTCGGACTCATCCTGCGCGCTGGCCATAGTTCAAGCAGTGATGTGTCTTTAGTCTGCGCACAAGTAGGCTGTAAAAAAATTTCTGGAGGCACAACAGGCCGGTAAAATTCGAAAATCACGTTTCTTCCAAAGGAAAATGTTCAATTTGCACAAAATTACAGTACAGTATTTTTGCGCACTGCCGTAATTTTTTATTTGACGTACAACAGTACAGTATTACTGTTGTACAGTCTGGCAACTGGCCTTGATGCAAATGCATCAAGGTAGCTTCGAATCTTACAATGTTACTCCAAAAATTGAAGTTCTTCTGTCTTCTGTGCCAGCAGGGAAAATCTGTTTTACTCTTTTTTTACACGTACTGTACAGTACAGGCTCCATTTCATCAGGCATTGTGGGTTGGTAGCTTGGTAGCTAGGTACCGGTAGTAGTGAACTAGTGATCCGCTCTAAGCAAAAAAATAGCAGATGGTGTGTTCTTCTGTTGTGTACTGTATGATACAGTAGTAGGTTTTTATTTTGGAGGACCGTCCAGAGAAAAGATACGCCAAGAAGCGTGGTGAAAGCCTAAAAATCGACGTCAATATACACTTTTTTTCTTTTTGGGCACCATGGCACTCCGAGTCAAGCGACAAAATAGTAGATCACGATACGCTCTATGCAGAATCGTATGCGGCTAAAAAGATCAATTAGGAGGAGTGACCAGCAGCGAGTAAAGGAAAAAAAAATGGAAATTCTTGCGCGTGTGGCACGTTCATGAAGTTGCACTTGTTTTTCGCATAATATACATTGAACATTGTACACCACGCCATCGTGCGCTTCCAGTTGCATCCGCAGCATCTCGTCGTCAACAAGTTGCACGAACAGACAATGTGAATTAAACGTCAGAAACACGCAATTTGAAAAAAAGACATAAAAAAAAAGGCTATTTATAGGCTCTGCGGATTTGACAGAATGGCATCCATTTACCATTGCCAAATCAGGTTACACAGAAAGTAGAAAAATAGCAATCAGACGCCGAGATCTGGGCGTAATACTGTAAGCCCCTTGATTCATGTTGTCATCAAGGGCAAAGTGGTCGTTGAAGCATCATTGGACAAAAGAGACGCTTTTGCATGATTCACGTCATTGATGCATTCGGCTTTGTTTGTTACAGTAATGCAGCCCGCGTTGTTGATACGCATGCTGGGTGCATAAGCGCGTCGGGGCACGGTCCACAAGAGAATGAAAAAAAAATAAAATAAAAATGAGCGCCATGAAGCAGCCAAAGGAAGCTCTGGCAACATTTTGACTCGTCCTACGTGCCGGGACTTGAGGGAATTTCCTAGATGGAGGGTGTTGTCAGGAGGGAATTTTGCACCTGGTGGAGCGTTGCACACAAAAAAAAAAAGAAAGAAAAAAAGTGAAGGCTGTCAGCCCAAAAAGGCAACTACGAGGGGGGCAATTGGCCGCCGTGCAGAACGGAAAGAGTCGAAAAAATTCTCGGGTGTTCCCTTCTTTCGTTCTCTCGCTCTTTTCGTCTCTTTGTCTCCTTACCGACAAACGCTTTTTTACACTTTTTCACTTTTCCCCCGTCTCCTTTATGTCAACACATACGAGCGGAATGTCTTCTAGCCGCCGTCGGTACCCTGTGGCACCCAGTCTCGATCGCTCGTCAACGACGCCGCTGCTCAGTACGACGGCGACCGCCGGGGACGGCCGTGTGGACTATGGCAGCAAACACCAGCCGTTCCATCTGCCCGTGACGATGCCAGCGAGCACGACGTCGGTGCCGGTGGCCATGACACGCACGACCAAGCCTAAGCAGCCCAACCGCACGACAAAAACCTCGCAAAAGCTCAAATTGTTCCCCGACGAGGACAATGAACCGCTGTACATGCCCGAAGATACCGATGTTTATACTCAATTGGCACAGATTCCCCATGGCTCCGCAAGGATAGAAGCTGAGCGACTCAGCAAGATCAATCGTGATGAATTGCCTCGTGTCACGGCCTATTGCACTGCATCGTACGCTGAATTTTTATTGCCATATGAACAAATCCATGATTGACCACTTTTTTAAAATAGTGCCTATCGCATGGACAGCCTTGCCAAGTACTTGCAGAGCAAACGACGTTCCAATGGCACGCACATCAAGCGCTTTGATGAGTGGTAAACCATCTTGTACAGGGGGGGCATTGGAAAATGGCACAAGTCGGCTAACAAATGCTTTTGATCCAGCCTGTACACGCCGTATAGCCTTGGCTATGGTCCGCCCAAAAAGGATGAGCAGCAACAGCAACAGCAGCAGCAGCAAGAAACATCTTTGGAGCAGCGCCGTTCGCCTGAAATGTTCCTTTTTGACTATGGCGTCGTGGTCTTTTGGGGCATGACCGAGGTTGAAGAGCAGCGCGTCTTGCAGGACCTGGAACCCTTTGAGGAGGAAAAACTTGGTAAAAAAAAAAAAAAGCGACAAACCTAAAAAAGACAGCGAGGATGGGACACTTTTGGCCATTGACCACACCCTTTTTGCCTTTATTCTGTGCAGACGCCGATGATGTCGAGACGGAGGAATTCAATTATTATTACGACGAGAGCTACCAGCCCAGGCAAGCCAAGAAAAAAAAAAAAAAAGGAAAAACATTGGGAAAAGCGGCAAATGGGGCTGATTTGTTTTTTTTTTTTCTTCCTCAGGATATACAATGACATCATCACGCTGCGCCATGCGTCAAATTACCTTGTCAAGCTGACAATTGCGCAT